GGGAGCAGCGCTGAATGCGGCGCGGTGGGGCTGGCGGAGCAGCTCAGCTGTGCTTTGCAGCAGCCAAGCCTTATCTATTGTTTGAGGTTATGACAAATAAATCCCATTCTTGCACACACACCCTTCCCTTTCACCTCAGCACAAAGGGGATGTGTATTAGGGACAGATGGTGGCACTTGACTATGCTGCCAGGGTAGCAAACACCAGAGAAGAAAGAGGAGGGATGAAACAACGTAAAGCCAAAGACAAGGACTGTGGCTTCCCCTTCATCCTGAAGGGAAGCGGTAGCCTTTTCAGCTATTAAAAAAAAAAAAAAAAAAAAAAAAAAGCAGAAATAAAGAATTAGATAAGGGTACCTGAGCACCTGTCCCAGACAAGCAGTGTGTCTGAAAATAGGCTTTATAGCTAGGAACTTTCATTTAGTACCTCGATTACTAGGAAACAGCCCCTCACTGAAAGAATGAAAATGAAAAATCCACAGCATTAATTCCTAAAAGCATTCATATCCTTTTTTTTTCTTTTTTTTGAAACCATACATATATATGATATTTAAAGATGTCATATAGCAGTATTCTGATACTCAGAAAGTTGGATGCAAGAAGCAAACACTGGACTGCTGCTCAGGAAGTTTATATCTCTTTACAACTCATTCAAACAGGCAGAAAACAAAAGTGGCCATCACTAATGCTAAGCTCTGTGCTTCAGCTTTTTTTGTCGTGTACTGTAGCTTTAGTAAGTGTCCATACATGGACAGGTCTAAAGCTGAATGGGTCTGAGAGCTTTTACTTAAATCGCAGGTTAAGAAAAAAATTATCTTTTTTTTTTCATTTAACAAGCATTTTAGTCTAATTTTAAAGGTGTTTAATACACTTACACAACCTGCACTAACCCTTGGGAATATTGATGGTGTGGCTTTAAAGCCAAGAGTTGAAAAGACTGGGGTTTTTACTTGGTTGTTTTTGATTTTTGATTTTTTTTTGTTAGTTCTACTGCAGTAAACTTGCATTGGCTTCTCTAGGGCCAGGATTTCATCCTAGATGTGATCATGAATAATGGAACAGCAACAGTCACTACTATACACATGCTGCGAGTTTAGAAGTTATAAGCATTTGTGATTCATGACATAATTAAGAGCATTTGGAAAAAACTTTCCATAGGGAAAGGTTATTCTATATTTATCCTCTCTGCAGGCATTTTATCTTCCTTTGAAATACCTGGAATTAGACAGTCTTCAAGACAAGGCACTGGGTTAGTAGTCTGTACCTTCCAGTTATTACCATGTTCCTGAAATCATTAATAGAGCAAGACAAATTCTTTTCTAGTTCATTCTTACATGCTAGTGAAATACAGTATTACCAAGGCCAAAAATGTTTGATAAATAGCTTCTTTCTTCCTAAATCTGATTCCCTTGTATCAAAGCAGCCAACTCCCGCTACATGTGAGGAGAGTTTCTAATGCAGAAGAGTATTTCCTTCAAAGCACAGCGTATTCATCCCTAAAATGAAAAATTGCCTTTGAATTAACGTAGATGTAAACTGCTGGAGATCTGGCACGGGCTGCAAAGGCAGCAGAGCAGCAGCGTGACTGTTGCTGGCTACAGCAACCACCAGCACCGCCGAGTACCCTGGTGGCTAAGGGCAGGGCTGCGCACAGCGGGACGAGAAGTCCGTTTGAGCTTTTGGGATGGCGGATGCCACCTAGAGGATTATCCTCGCTGTTGTACACTCGGCTGCTTTTCCTCAAAACGAGGCTGTGCCACCCTTGCCAGGCACTGCACGACAGTGCGGAGAGGGGAGCCCCAGCGAGGAGCCCCGCGTGGTTGTGCCAGGTCTGTTCTGCCCTCGGCCGGGAGGTCTCCCCTGTCTGCACAGCGTTTGGGAGCCATCAACCTTGAGCAAACTGCACCCACCAGGTGGAAATCCACACATGTGTCTCAAGGGCAACCGAGAGCTGGCAGCTTCTGCCTTAATTTCCTCTGGCTCTAGGCCATGCATTTGTGGGCCACTCTTTCAGAACCACTAAGGGCAGAGGAAGAGGAACAAATGCAGCAGCCTGTCTGTCTCTCTGGTCCCCTGCTGTTCAGGCAGGTTTCTGACCTCAGCACTGACACTGAGGAGGTGGCCACATTACCACGGTATGTACCAACACTGCCCCACTGCTGGCAAGAGCCACAGATTGACATTTCCAAGATTAGGCACTTGGGTGTGATTGCAATGGGATGCTCAGACACCACTTGCACTCTTCTTCAGGGATATAACCCTGACATCTATATCAAGCTTTTCCAGGAATTAGAGGCCTGAGGCAGGAATTAGCGAATGAGCATATTTGGTACTTTTCTGCCCCTCTGGCCTATAAAACCTGTAAATTGACTGGGTTACTTTTAGTCTTGCCCTATCTCTACCTTGCCTCCTAGGAGAGGGTGCAAACTCTATCTCTTTTTTCCTTGAGCTGGCCTAATAAATGGGAAGTTCACCTACTGGTAGTTGACTGAGGTGAGGTGTTCTCTTATAGGAAGCAGGACAAGTTTGTTTGTTTGTTTTTTGGTCTGTGATGGAGACTTTATTTTTTGGAATGAAAATCCCAGTCAAGAATCAGTAATAGATCAGATCATCTTTAGCTCCTAACTTGACTGACACTACAAAAGAGGTTTTAAGAATAATCAGTGAAGTGATACCACGTCCACTTTAAAATTTTGTCTTCTAAACACTACTATATTTTTATGATTGCCCTCATTTTCTTTGTCTTGGAAGTCCTTCTTTTCAGCCCTCATTCCTTGTTTTTAAGGTGGTACTCATGCCTGTTTTCCAAGTTCCACCTCTGTGCTTTCTGACTTTTTCTGTGGTTTTTACTACTGCAACTTCTAGGTGTCTGAGTCCTGCTCCAAGGCTACCTACTGTAGGCAATGTAAACAAGGCACAACAAAGAAAATAACAGTCTCTATCTCAAGGAACGTTCTCCACTTACTTGTGTGTTTCTAGGGCCTTAGGACAAGCCCTTATTTAGTACACAGTGAAATAAGGATACCCTAAAGATGAGATGCCCGTTAAGCTGAGCTTGCAAAGGGTGGCTGATGGTCTTTCTGTCCCTGGCAGGGAAGCGCTGCTGTATACGCTTGCTGGAGAGCGGCAGAAGGGTGAAAAAATGGAGTGGAAGCCAGGGAAAACAACCCATGCCCGGAGGAACCTCTTTGGCCCCGTAGACCACGAGCAGCTGCAGCAGGATTTCCAGCACATGCTGCGCAGCAGCATCGAGGCAGCCCGGCAGAAGTGGAACTTCGATTTCCTCCGGGACAAGCCAGCTGAGGGGCTCCTGCAGTGGGAAGAGGTGGAGAGCCACCAGGTGCCTGCCTTCTACCACAGCTGTGTGGTGGGGGACACTCGGAGACCCCTGCAGCACTTGAACTTGCCCCTGGGCAGGGAGGACAAGATTCAGCACTTTGCCCAGGTGATACTGACTGAGAAATCCAAAACTTCAAAGAAAACAGGGGTCAAGAGGAGCCCAGAAAGGAAAAAAAGAAGACAGACATCTCTGACAGGTGTGTGAAACCTTTGTATTGCTCAGGTGGTCCAAGCTGGTCCTAGCAGTTTCCTAGAAATTCTTTAGGGCCATAGACCAGCCTTGTTTTAATAAAAAAGGGATCTTTTTCCTCAGAAAAGCGTCTGAAAGAAAGAATGCAAGCTTGTAATTGAGGGACTTGTGTCTTTTTTATAGATGCTGTTCCACAACCTCCCTCCAGTCCTAGGGGGTTTGTTGAGGCCTTGCCAGCATCAGAACAAATAAGATAACGGACACTTCTTACAAGAAGATGGTTAGGCTGGTTGCAAGGGTTAGACACTTTAAAAGTCACTCTTAAGAAAAGCAGTGAGAGAATTTCCCGAGCAAGAACCCAACAAGAAAGCAGGGTTATCCATTGGCTGGGAGCTTGGAGGTTTTTGTTTGATTACAGTTTCCAGAGGGCAGTGAGGAGCATAGCTGGCCGAGCTAAGCCTTAGGAGGAAGACCAGCAACCAGAGAAAGCAGCCAGTTCTCCTGCTAACTTCAGCTTGGATTTTATGCTCAGTGAAGGCATCCAGGAATTTTAAGGGCAGATCAATCTTAAACTTGGCCAGGAGGCAGAAAGGGGCCAGATTTTAAAATGTTTCTCACCAGGACTTGCTGCCAGATGCACAAAGGAAAGGATTTCTTGTTTCAGCACCCATAAAAGCGTTTCAAGTTTTAAGTCCTTGGCATCCCGCATGCTAAGCTCTTCTGAGAATCTGGCCCCTCATTTTGTCTTCCCAGTAGGATCTGAACTTATTTGAAAAATCTGATCCCATAGATTATATTTCTCTTTTCCTTACTGGGATTTTAGTTTATTCTGGAGTGGGGTTTTCAAGACATAGACAAAAGATTTTCATTGGGGAATTCAATGTGAGACACCAGCTCAAAATTGCCTGGAAGATAATTGAAGCTAAGGTTTCAGGAAACATTTTCTGAATAGTGATGTTGATCTCAGTAAGTCAGACAATAGAATAATTTGCTATTTGAAGGTATGAAACTTAATTGCTAGAGAGAAGTTCAGGAAGAGGTTGGGGATTAATGAAGAGTGGAACATTGTACAGGGGTGTACAGAACAATGATATTTAATGAGTGCACTTTTCCAAAGCACTTTACAGCCATTAACTAATTAACAGTATAATTTACAGGTAGGAGTACAGAAGTGTAATTCAGAGCACAATGTTGTGATGGTTTGAGGGAACTGATGTTCAATTGTAAATCTCTCACTAGGTGTGTGGGAGTAAATTATGCAGATATTTCCAGGGGATATTTTTCTTCCGTTCTGTTTTCCCCAGGCAAGACGCATTTCAACAGGGGATGTGGAAACCAAAATACCACGCTGCACAGTTTAACACTTTCCCACATGTTTTCATAAGAGAAAACTTTTTAGTCTAGCACTACCCTTCTCCCCAAGGAATCTGGGTGTAATGGGATGGGCCAGGAAAATCATTTGCAGTCCTCTTTGGTGATGCTCGCAGGTCAGGGCTTATTTTCCTCTTTTTCCCAGAAACACACATGCACCCATATAGTCTCCTTATTGACAGCTGAAAGATTCATCACAAGTTTCTCTCTGGCTGCAGAAACTCTGTCCCTCTGAACAAGACTACAGTAATTCAGGCAAAACCGAAGGCAAGGTGTTACAACAAAAAGTGATGGATATTGATAATGTCTGACCTCACTTTTTAGCCCATTTTCTTAACTTCTGCCATCCCAGAATGAAAGTTTCATTTAGGATCAGGTTCTCCAATTGGATTTGAACAGTTATCTGCATGTGCCTTTGGTCAAGGGGAACACCGTAATGCTTTACATTAAGATCCAACAATGTGCATTTAATTTAGACTTTAAAAGACAGCTGTGGCCCATTAAATAAATATCAACGTATTAAAAACCGTCCATGGGATTTTGTGGACGTTGGCGCCTCTAGAATAGAAGGAATAGAGGTTTTCTTGCCATATTTGACTCCTCAAACATGTAGAGAAATAAGTGCTATGGAAGTGTATTTTTTTTTTCTGTCTCCCAAACCTTTTATATGCAAATATTTCATCTTCATTCATCTTCCTCAGTGCAGTTCCAGTGTGGTTCTGCTCTGCTGTGTGTCTGGGATAGCTTCAAGTTCAAAAAGTAGAGGAGCTACAGGCCCTTTTGGTTGGTTCGTTTGTTTGCTTTTTCATTTTTGTTCTTTTGTTGTTGTTTTGTTTATTTGTTTTTTGAAAGCTGTGTTTCTCTAACCAGGTTGGGCAACCATACCAGCTGTCTGCTCCTCCTCTTTTCTAAATCTGCTGGCTTGCCTCAGTCCGATACACTTGGACCTTGTAGTGTCACAGCTTTCCAGGAAGACGTCTATTTGTCCTTGCCTCCTTTGCTTAATGTCAATAGAGAGAGAATTGGCAACCATTTTATGTTTTCATTTGCAGGTCTTCTTTCTGAAGTGTATAGTCCTGAAAGCCCAATTTCTGCAAAAGAAGTGGGAAAAAACAAGGGAGAAATGAAAGCAGGTATTTAGTTAGGTATATTTAAGCAGTGCAGATCTTTCCCTCATAGGTCTCTTTGTCCAGAGTTTCCTTCTGAACTGGCTGCAAATGCTCAGTACCTCACTTATGCCTACTGATGTGCTTTTTAGAATCCCCAGAAGTACCAGCCTGTTTTCATGGACTCTTTCTAGAGTGGAAGCTTAACCAGCTGAATACAGCTCTGGGGATCTATATCACCCTGGCTTTTAAGTGCCTCCATCAATGCTGAAATGAGGCTCAGCTAATAACTATGAAAGTGTCTTAAGCAGTTTGGCTCTAGCTAAAATTCTTCACTGGCTGAAATGGGAATAATGACTATTTAAGACCCTTACGAATTTCATCCACTAAGCATAATCCACAACGTATTTCTTTGCCCAAATTGAAATGGAGGATAGCTTTGTAGAAGTCTTTGTACTAGAAAAAAATGACAGACGTAAGGATTACATTTTGTAACTTAGGCTTTTTATTCTTACTGCTATTTCTCTCTGCAGCCCCACTGAGAGACTGCAGTGGATGGTAATAATAGCAGGACTTGCTTTTCTACTGAGTTAGCAGTGCAAGCTCTAGCCTGTGAGAACACACTCTCCTTGGGATCAAGTCTTGCTGCAGAAGCTTAACTTAACTCAGGACTAGCTCCAGTACTGCTATGCTCCGTTGCACTGTGCCATGTAGACATATCCTTAAGGAAATTGGCTGCAGGAATCATTCTGCACAAACTTGGCTGTGAAGGACTGTAGAGTTCCAGCCATCCTGCCAGTAATATTCTGTGCTGAAATTAATACAAGGCTTTATGCTGCTAGGACTCAATATATGTTGCCAATTTGATTATATAGGAAGCTTAAGTTCAAATATTATGAAGCTTGGATCCTCAATTGATTTAAGTTGGAATAGCTTTGTTAGTATGAACACAAACAATTTACACCAGGTAAATACCATTAACTCTAAAGGTAAATAAACATTTAGCGTCCATTTCAGCAAGCTTTGCTCTGTTTACTTGAAATGTTTTGCTTGTTTTGTTTTGTTCTGTTTTGTTTGTGCTGTGAGGACAGAGGAGCAACTCCTAGGTGTTTGCTACAGTTATGGTTCTGTAGTTTAGGATTTAAGTTTGTACTTAAAGCAAAAATTTAGCCACATATATGTGAAAATGTTCTCCTCTTGATCCACGATACATACTGTCTGTGAGGATAATTAGTTACAATTCAGCGATATAGCAAAACTTCATGACGTCATCCAGGAATCCGCATTTGACCTAATAAGTAGAAATAAAATGTCACATAAATACAGTTCTTCTGAAGTTATTTTACAGCCAGTGTGCTTTGTTATTTTTAAGGAGGAGAAACAACTGTTCCTGACAGCACTGCAGCAGTGACTCTAAAAGTTGGAGTAAAATGTCACATTGCTCAGCTTGCATAAGAGAGTCCAAAGTCCTTTGATCTGTACTGGACAAAAGCCAGCACATTTCCTTTGTTTTACTTGGTATTACAAAGCTTTCTATGGAACATACTAAAGGTTTTAGTTTTGTTCCTTCACAAGCCTTAGAGAAGTCCAAACGACTTCTTTGACAGAAAAAAAAAAAAACAAGATTTGAGGGATTTCTTTAAAGCAGTCATTATTAGTGCTGCAGTTTTAATTCCCTGCATTTTTGTGTTGCTCCACAGATTACTACTCAGCAAAGAAGCGAGTCAAAACGAATATGCAAGCTGCTGCAAAGAAGTCAACTCCTTGAATGTGAGCGTAGGATTGTTCTGCACTGGGGAGGTCAGAGACGTCTGCCAAGTTGCCTCGACACTCAAAACCACGTGCACAAGCTGTGGACACTTAGGGGCATCACTCAGAAAATACTCATTGCAGCAGCGATGAAAAGTTTTCTGGGCACACAAAAACTTTCATTGGAATGGGATCATTGGAATCAACTGGAATCATTTGGATGGGAGATGACTAGCCTTAAAAACTGCTGGACAAGTTGGGGTGCTACAGCAGTCAGCTAAGGCTAGTGGTGTGACATGCGTCAAAAATAACTCCACAGGCGAAAGTGGTTAACGGTTGTAGCTGTATGTGCGTAATAATGTGCTTGGACTTGTCCATGTACGGGGGGGGCCTTTTGTTCTGCCTTTTCACAGCCTCTCTCCTGTTTTTACCAGTGATACTTAAAATTTGCACCATCTCAGATTTACAGGTCTGACATAGAAAAAGCCTCCCAATTCACCCATGATGTTTTTCAGGCATAGAATATATGCCTGTTTTCTCTTTGCAGCTATTTGGGGCATAAACAACAGAATTAGGTGCCAAATATATATATACATGTATATAGTTGGGGTGAAAATTGAGAAAACTAGTATTTTTCTTGGGCAAGTTTCCTTTTGTATGCCCTCCCAGTTAATCTTAATTGTTAAGGGTGGTAATTTGCCGGCATATTTTTGCGTCTTTGAAGTCCAGCTCTTATCAGCTGGGCCAAATTCACCCTTCATGTTTGGTCATGCTCTTCCATCTATGTCAGTGAGTTTTCTTGGTGAAAATGAAGACAAAATGTGCTGTGCATTTGTCCACAGTGTTTTAAATTGTCTGCTGCCTGCCAGAACATGCTAAGAATGAGGGAAACAGTTACTATATTGTGCTTCTATCCATACTGAAATTATTTCTATGAAAAGATAAAGGGCATTAACAACACTGAAGTTTCCATTCCTCTTGGTGTTGCATGGACTGCTTTTTCTACAGCACTTGGTATGATATCCTTTTTTCACGACCTCCTTTGCATTTCTGTTCCTTATTACCCTGACTAGTTTGGATAATTGAGGTTTTACAGCACATAATAATCAGTGGGTAAAGCAGAAAATGAAACCTATAAAATATACACTCTAAATGTGGTGCTGCATATGGCCTGAAGATGCAGATTTAATGAACACATTTGGAAAGACCTCTGCAAATGTGAGCATTTTAGAACTTCTTACCATGATGGAACATTGTTTTTTGTCTCAAATCTACACAGGCTAGGGCCTCTCTTGAATAAAAAAATTGATGTGCCCACGCATGTGTGTCAGCTGTAGAGATGAGATGTGGTTTGAGGAAGCAATATACCCCATTACACGCAACATCAGTATGGTTTAGTCCTTTTTTTTTTCCCCCGAATATGGGAGCTAGAGTGTTTAGACATAAAAAATAGTTGGTTTCCCCCAAGGAGGAGGATATAGTCATTTCAGCTGTTTCTCTGTATAGTGAGGTAAGGGTGCTCAGCGAGATGCAGAATCAGGGCCTTTTTCCAGCAGCATGCAGAAGAGAGCCATGAGATGTGGTTTTCTCGTTTAAAATTTTGATTTAATAAGGAACTGTGGAAGCAAAACTTGCCACAGCTGATGGCAGAGGGAGTTTTATCCAAATGAAGCAGGAGGAGGGCCTGCCTAGCTGACAAGTGCGGCTAGCAGTGCATTCAGTGTGATTAGGGGACAGGGCCTACAAGCTTCTTAGCAACTTGAGATGTAGCATAAAGGTGTAGGGTGGTTGGGATTTTTGTATGTTTGATTTTTTTTTTTTTTTAACTTTGCTTGTCACTAGAACAGACCAATGTACCTTTTTCTGTGTGTGTGTGAGATGTTCTGTAGTTCAGAAGAATACCACAACTGTTGCTCCATGTGTCTGTGATTTTAAATCAGACCAGGGACACTGTGCATCATTGTTTTGTAAAAATGTTTCACAGCGTTACTTTCTGACCAAGATGACATGAACTGTGCAAAAAAGCCTGCAAGTCTGCCTTGCACAAGGTCACTGTGAAGGTGCTGAGTCTCTTTCTCTCCTTTTTCTTTTATTTTTCCCAAGAGGAAAAGGGATGCTTCTTTCTACCAGGAAAAATAATGACTATTGATGCACTGCTATCCCAGTGAAACAGGAAAGCTCTTTCAGAACCAATGTGAAAAAAAATCCTAGCAGCTTATATGTATGTTTAAAAGTACATATTTGATTTACATGCTTTGTGATCAGGGCACTACAATGTCCTGGGAATTCATAAAACCGTTCTTTAAGTTATTAACAAATTAAACACTGCAGTTTTTGGTTGCCAATGCAGATACAGGCTCTGAAGTGGAATTTCAATATATTCAGACCAAAAGGTCAAGGCCACAGTTTAGAATTAGATCTGTTCATGTTGAGCTCTTGGTTGTGACTGTTATTTCTGTGCTGTAGCAAAAAAAAAAAAAAAAGAATTCTCTGATGATTAGATGTCTTTGTTTGCTGCCTACACATTTGTTGATATTTCTTGGAATGACTCAGTACTGGAAATGGAGATGGAATGGTGGCGGGCAGGGAGGGGAGAGCGATAATGTTTTCATGCCTGTGTTTACAACTGGAAAATTCTTATACTTTTGCCATGTATACCCATCCCTCTCCAGTATATATCATTATAGCTCTGCAGTCCCATAGGGGTTCTGCTTGGGTTTACACCGGAACTGAATTGCAACTGAGGTGTTTTCAGAGTCATAGAATGCCTAAGGTTGGAAGGGACCTCTAGAGGTCATCTAGTTCAACCCGCCCTGCACATGCAGGATCATGGTTTTGCACTAGTTTTTTTGTTACTTTAAGAAATAAAATTACAATCAGCTATGTAAAGCCGTTGCCTACCTTCCATATTCACAAATTCTGAAAGGTAAAGAAAAATGGTTTCTGCAATATGAGGACTGCAGATGTGTATGTGACAGCCAAAAATGATAGCAAACCTGATTAGTATCAGGGCTCCATCATGAGGACGGTGAATGAAGTTTATCATCTTATATTTTGTTAAGCATGGAATTTTGCATTATTTTGTTCATCGTGTAAATTGTACTTCCTTGTTAAACACAGGATTTGCAAGGAGATAGCTCAGTATGTAGCAAAGTTGTAATAATAATAATAATAATAATGTTTATTATTACATGGGTTTAAAGCATTCCCATTCCTTAGGCGAATACAGGAGGCAGCAGACCTGCTGCAAAGAGCAGTACACAGGAGCTCTATTCCACTTTGCTCCATTGGCAGATACAGCATGTTGGACGTAGCAAGCCTTGTCCTGTAGCAAAGTGCTGGTGTGCTGTGCACGGAGTTGGATTGTTCACATGGGTACACAGCCAAGCACCAAAGCTTTCTCATAAAGAGGAGCAAGGGAGAGAGTTCAGAAACTGAAATAAATTGGGCATTGAAGAAACGGTAGCAGCACTGGTCACAGGCCTTAAACAGCCGTCAGCACATAGTGATTACACAGCAGAAGGAAAACCATAAAATATTGTAAAATACTGGATTATTGGGAATCCATAAAACATTGTAACCTCAGTATGCTGATAAGTAGATACAACTACATCTACCTGAGCCCTCCTTCTTCCCTTATCTGAATATAAACTGCATACATGACTCAGGGCCATATATTATTCAGCAGCCGCAGCCTGGCTTCCACTGGTACCATAGCATGACCAACATACGCATTAGGGAAGTATGCAGTTCAGGATTTTACCATCCAAATGTGTCCCATGTACAAATAGGAGCAAGTGCCAGAACAGCTGCTGCACTTGCTCTGTGTTTTATACAAATACAGGAATCATCTCTCAGGTATGAATCATTCCATTAAATTTCCTCTGCAGCAACTGGAGAATGTTGTTCCGCTTGGGCAAGAGTGCCAGGAAAAGTGAGATTCTACATGCTTTAGTAATTTTCAGGGTGATATAAATACAGTTTCTTTCTACTTAAAGCAACTCCTCTGCAAACTATCATAAATACCCTTCTTTTAGACAAAACTGGTTTATTGAAAAATGTGTCTCCTTGCTGCTGTAGGTGCCTTACAATTACACCATCATCTTTGGGGTCTTTGTTAAGAGGTATTGGGGGTGGGGCTTGAAATGAGAACGGGTCATAGAAATGTTTGGCTGGAAGTGACCCTGTGATATTGTCCACCCCCCCACCCAAGTGCAGGATCAGGACGTACTTATTCCAAAGCTTGTGAACTACTATGGGAAGTGATTTGCTCGGTTCATCTGGCAAATTAAGTGGGTAGCCATGATCCAACAAAGTTCCTCCTGAGGTTCAGAGGATTTATGTTATACAAGGTGTTTTTTTCAGGTATTAATTTTGCTTTGTTCATAATGTTGTATTACTGTAGATTCAGTTAAATGCCATGTGAGCAAGTTGATGTGTTGAACAGTTTGGCAGCTGTGAATATTTGCCATGTCATCAATAAAAGCTGGTGCATATAAATGTTTGATAGCAAAAGAAGCTTCATTGTCATCTTCTCATGCAGATTTCTTTTGTGTTATTCCTGCGTGGTTCTGTCCTGGATTCCCAACACTGACCCTTGTGCAATTCCACCTTTTACAGTCACTTAACACATACAAAATATCGGTGCAATCTGTGACGTAGGGCAAGCTACCCCAGCTTGCCTCAGCTGACCTATAGCCAGAAAATGCATTTCTGCAGTGAATATTTTCATGTTTTGCCACTGAGGTGTCACAAAACATGTACAAGAAAACCTTTTTTTCCCCCTCCTCCTTCTTACGAGATTTTTTTTTTTTTGCTTAGGAAATGCTGCCTTCTTTACTTTCAGCAAGCTGTTTCCTTGGCAAGAAACATGACTATCAGGTGTTTAAAATTAAAGATGTTAGAAACAAATTTTCAAAAGTAGGAGGGTTTGCCCCAGTGTCCTGGACATAGTCCAACTTTGGTAATTACGTCTTGCCTAACTAAATCCTTCTTGCTGTTTCATGGCGTTCTTCCTGTCCCACTGAAATCAGGTATGCAGAGTTGCTGTGACAGGACACATTA